AGGCTGCTGTGTAAAGATTGCCATGTCCCCGAGTGATGCTGCCATGGGTGGCACAGTAGGCGTCTTAGGGTCTGGTATGTGCCGCCCTGTTGTGAAGAGGCTGCTGCTTAGCTGACCCAGTTGTTCCCTGAACTGCAGCATGATTGGCGTTGAAGAACAGCTCTTACTACGTTAGGTACAATGACATCGACGAGGATGTTTGTGAGTGGTTGCTTTACTATAGTTTTCCAAGTCTACCTGGTAGGTGGCTCAGAGCTGCTATGCACTAGAAAATGACTCCCTCCATCATAGGGGGTCCTCTCTGCCGTAGCACAGATCTGGGGTGCAGCCCTGCTCACAGTGAGGCCCTGTTTGTTAGCTTTCTTCACCACTGACCTGCCCTCTTTGCCCTGGCCCAGCTGCAGAAGGCTGCCGACCCCTGGGTCTTGAAGCACTCAGACCTGGAGAAGCAGGACAACAGCTGGAAAGAGGTGAGTGGGGGACCTGCTACCTGTGTTTCCTTGGCTCCTGGCTACAGGAGAAAGTTCCCTGCCTCATGGGAATATGACAGAAGGGTGTTGCTCCCTCACACCTTGAGCTCCTCAGCTCTGGGGTCTCTTTCCACTCCATTGTTCCTGCCTTTAGTTTGGGATTTGGGAAGGGTCTTCTGTCAGCACCGACCATCCCTGCCTGGGAGAAGTCTTTGACCTTTCTTCATTTCAGTTGCGCCTCTTGTAAATAGCTGTGCCATGTTGGGAAAACTGTTCTTTCTCTCTGGGCCCCAGTTCTTAATTGGTTAAAGGAGAATCCCATTTTCTGCCCAACCCTGAGTGTAGAGCTCAGCGGGGTCATACTGGGGAGGCCTCACATAAGCCTCAGGTACATTGTCATAGAGCCACACACGGGACAACCAGCAGGCCCTGTGCACCGCCCAGTTCTTTGACACCTTGAGGAAATGCATCCTTCAGGAGACTGGACTGCAAACGACAAACACTGATTCTGGGTAACTGAGTCAGGAGAGGGCTATACTAGGGTTTAACAAGGCCAGTAATTCAGTTCAGAAAACCCCAGCAAGTCCTGGGGAGCTATGCCTCTGGAACCAGAGGGGGACAAGCCCAGAGGGTAGCCAGCAGGTCCCCTTTGTCACCACCAGCTGAACAGGGAACACTGGATGCTTCAGCCAGCACGTTTGAAATAAGCCTAATGGTCCCTTTCCCTGGGGATCACCCTTAGAGCTCCAACTGGGCCTGCCTGGGTCACATACCTTTGCTAGGGAGTTCCTTGTTGTGTAGCCAGAAACTGACAGATGGGCCTTCTGGGTCATGGCTGACATCATGTCTGCTCTGCAGATGAGCAGACTCAGGTGTGGCAGTCCAGCCACAGCTCCGACCCTGGCCTTCTGTCACCTTCCCTCCATGCCCTGATGGCCAGATCTGACCCTTCCTGTCTCTTCTTTGACAGACACGCAGTGAGAAGATCCACGACAAGGAGGCTGTTTCTGAAGCTGAGCTTGGGGGAACCGGCTTAAAGAGGTGCTGGCATCCCCCCAGCCAACCCAAGTCCTGCAGCCACTCCCTGCCCCATGCCTCCTACCTCTCCCCTGCCCCACGTGTCCACTCTGCTGCCCTCTCAGGGTTGGGAGAGCACCAAGGAGTGGCTTCTATGGGACCCAAGCTACTCAAGTTCTGGACAGTTTGGGACGACGGGAATTCCACCCACCCTGCGGTTTATTTTTTGTTTGTTTGATTCTGGGCGTGGAGTCCTTGCTGGGAAAGAAACTGCTCTTCTTAGGTTCCTTTCCCCGTCTCTGGAGCCGGGAGCATCAGGACGGATATCCATTCCTGGGATTATTGAGTAGCATCCTCAGGCCCCAGACCTGGACTGTTACCATGGAGACCCCTGAGACTCTAGGAACCATGTCTCCACCATTAGCAAACCCATGATAGGAGTGAGGGAGGCAGACCCTACCGAGCCAGGCAGAGCGGCCCAGAACCAGTGGGCCCTGGGTGCCGGATGGGGGCTCTGCAGTCTGGGGAGTGTGATGCCCAGCTCTGCTCTCTGGCCTTGGGCAGCACTTCTCATCCCTATTCTGTAGCAGTAAGAGGAATTGCCTCCTGAAGGAGTCCAAGTGGTCAGATGTTTGTGATGTGCTTTTATTTTTTTAAAGAATTATTTATTTTATTTTATTTATCCATTCATTTATTTTAATTTGACCAGAGAGAGAGAGAAAGTGAGAAAGCAAGCCACCAGGTCCGGGACTCGAACTGTGGTCGGCCATGTGGGAGTGTCCAGTGCCTTAAACACCACGCCACCTGCCGATTTCCTGTGATGTACTTATTACACATCCTTGCCCAGCACTCTCGGTCATTCAGACCCCACAGGCGCCATGTCTGTGCTGGGGATTTAACGGTGTCCTCATAGTTTGCACTTTCAGACCTGGGACAAGCAATTAAGTGCAAATGGTTTATTTTGGAGAGAATTCCAAGAAATACCTGGCAGTGAGATGGGATGGGAGAGCAGCCAGTTAAAGGACTTCTGAGGCCCTGCTGCAGTAGCACACAGGTCGTGCCACCTTGGGAGACCGGAAGCCACAGGAGGGCCCAGGTCGAATTTCTGGGCCAGCCTGACCACACTTGGCCCAGTTCCACGTGTGCTGTAATCCCAGTTAACTGCGAGGTTGGGGCAGGAGGATCCTCATACAGCGAGACGCTGTCAAAAATACTATGTCTGACTCTCTTCCTTTCCCTTTTCATAACCCCATAAAGAAAAAGAAGTTTCTGGGACCAACAGATGGCATAATGGTTATGTCACTGGACTCCCATGTAGTCCACCATAGTTTGAGTCCCAGACCCGGCAGCTTAAAGCTCATGCTGGGCGAGCACATGCACCCTATAGCAAAAATCTCTCTGGAAAAAATAAAAAAGAAGTTTCGACCTGTGGTTCACAGAAGTCCCTCTCTCTGAGGAATTCTGGGAGCCAGAGTAGCACATGCAACTCAGTCGTCTCCCCACGGAATGGAACCTGTATATTTAGTCATCAAGCCCAGTCCATTTTTTTTTTTTTTATAAAATATTGGTTTATTTCTTCTGAAAGAGAGAGAGGCACCCCCAACACAGAGGCATCCCTAATAGGGTCTTCATGTTGAGATCTACCCCCAACCTCAGCCAGGTAGGATTACCAGGCATGTACAGGGAGACCCTGGGACATGAACCCAGGACCTTCTTAGATGGCTTCAGGATCACGGAGAGCTGCGTTACTTGTTGGGCCCATCCACTGTCTCTCAGGTTCTGCGTTTGGGGGCATTCACTGCTATCTCTGGTTTCCTCTATGTGGAGGCCAAGTATGACCTCACAGCCAGAAAACAAGCCCAGGTCGAGGGTAGCAGGTGTTCAGAGCACTTTGGAGTGTGTGGGTGTGAGTCCAGAGGACATGAGGCAGGGCACCCACTATGTTGTCGGCAAGAGTCAGTCGTGGTCCCTGTCCTCAGGCAGCGCATGGCCCAGGGAGGTACATTGGAGTGCATGCTCAGTGTGTCACCTTCCACTAAGACAGACCGCTTTTCCTCTACCCTTTCCAGGACCAAATCTGTTTCCTCCATGTCTGAGTTTGAAAGTTTGCTCGACTGCTCCCCCTACCTTCCTGGCGGGGACGCCCGGGGCAAGAAGCTGCCCAACAACCCTGCCTTTGCCTTTGTGAGCACCGAGCCGGTGGATCCAGAGAAGGATGCCAAGGAAAAGCCTGGGCTGTCATCGCGGGACTGCACCCGCCTGGGCGCACTGACCTGCCAGGACCCCGCGGGGAGGCAGATGCAGCGCAGCTACACAGCTCCTGATAAGACGGGCATCCGAGTCTACTACAGCCCCCCAGTGGCACGGCGCCTGGGTGTCCCCGTGGTGCATGACAAGGAGGGTAAGATCATCATCGAGCCCGGCTTCCTCTTTACCACAGCCAAGCCCAAAGAGTCAGCTGAAGCAGACGGACTGGCCGAGAGCTCCTATGGCCGGTGGCTCTGCAACTTCTCACGGCAGCGCCTGGACGGGGCCACAGGGGGCAGCCCCTCAGCAGCCGGGCCTGGCTTCCCTGCTGCCCTGCACGACTTTGAGATGTCTGGCAACATGAGTGACGACATGAAGGAAATCACCAACTGTGTGCGCCAGGCCATGCGCTCGAGCTCGCTGGAGAGGAAGGTGAAGAGCACGTCCAGCCAGACGGTGGGGTTGGCCAGTGTAGGCACGCAGACCATCCGTACGGTCAGCGTGGGCCTGCAGACTGACCCGCCCCGCAGCAGCCTCCACAGCAAGAGCTGGTCACCCCGTAGCTCCTCTCTCGTGTCTGTGCGCAGCAAGCAGATGTCCTCCTCCCTGGACAAGGTCCACTCACGCATCGAGCGGCCCTGCTGCTCGCCCAAGTATGGCTCACCAAAGCTGCAGAGGCGCTCCGTGTCCAAGCTGGACAGCACCAAGGACCGCAGCCTGTGGAACCTGCACCAGGGCAAGCAGAACGGCTCAGCCTGGGCCCGCTCCACCACCACGCGAGACAGCCCAGTGCTGAGGAACATCAACGACGGGCTGTCCAGCCTCTTCAGTGTGGTGGAGCACTCAGGGAGCACGGAGTCTGTCTGGAAACTGGGCATGTCTGAGGCCCGGGCCAAGCCCGAGCCTCCCAAGTACGGCATCGTGCAGGAGTTCTTCCGAAACGTGTGCGGCCGTGCGCCAAGCCCCACGTCGGCCCCTGGGGAGGACAGCTCCAAGAAACCAGAGCCCCTCTCCCCGGCCAGCTATCATCAACCAGAGGGCGTGGCCAGGATCCTGAACAAGAAGACAGTCAAGGCAGGCAGCAGTGAGGAGGCCAGACCCACCATGCTTCCCCAGGTGGGGAAGGATGGTGTCCTCCGGGATGGAGACGGAGCCACAGTCCTTTCCAGTGAGGTAAATGGGTGTGTCTGTCCTTTTTCTTAGGAGGTGGGATACATTTTCAAGGCCCAAGCCCTTTTGGTTTTTAAACTTGGGGGACTATGGTCATGTATCTCAAAAAGTTGTGTTTTTAAAGCTTATTTATTTATTATATTTCTTCCACTAGAGAGAGACAGAGAGGCAGGCACGCTCGATCCACCCCCAGTCCCAGGTGACCCAGATTATTGGCACTTGGTGTGCTCGGAGGACTGAGACATGAGCCAGACCTTTCCCATGTGTGTTCAGTTGAGTTATTTCTACACCATCACCAGTCCCTCAAAAAGGGTTTTGTTTTGTTTTTTGAGAAATTTTTGCTAGAGGGCATGTATGCTGGCCAGAGAGACAGAAAACGAGAAATCGTCTCCCGAGCAGATGGCCATGCCACAATCCCTTCTCCTCTATTCTCCTCTCGGGATCTTGGGCACACACCCACATGTGTCTAGCATGAGTCTAAACCACTGGGTCTGGGACTCAAACTGCGGTCGACTACGTAGGAGTCCAGCGATGTAACCATTATGCCATCTGCTGGTCCCAAGCTTCACTTTCTCTGTTGTCTTCCTCTTTTTCTCTTTCTCTGGTACATTTGCACAAGGACTCAGGGGATTGTCCCAGCTCCGATTTTATGACGTCATCTAGCTCAAGCACACAAGAAAGACTGATTCATTTCCCTCTGTCCCAGTTCCACATTTCTGAAAGGAAGAAACTGATTGGTCCAGCTCAGGTCGAGTGCACCCCCTTGTACTAGTCGACTCCCACGTAGTCGACCGTAATTTGAGTCCTGGACCAGACAACTTAAAACTCACACTGGCCAGAGGTCGTGCCATGTGGTCTGCTATGAACTTGGTGAGGGCTGTGGTGGATGTGACAAAGGCTGTGTGTGGGATAGACTGTGATTGACCCAGAAGGCCCACTTCCTATTGTATGTTTAGGTGATTTCTAGTTTTGCTGAACATCGTGGTGCAAGAAAAACATTTTTTCACAATTTTTTTCAGATTACTTCCTTAGGTTTGAGTTGCAGAAATGGGATTGTAGGATAAAAAAAATAAATATTGGGTTGTTGGAAAAGTCATGACACAAATTTTTTTTTTTGGAAAGATTTTTGTTATAGAGCACGTGTGCTCACCAGAAAGACAGAGAGACAAATCCCCCCCCGGGGATATGGCCACGCCACAATCCCTTCTCCTCCATTCTCCTTTTGGGATCTTGGGCATCCATGCACACGCGCCCGGCATGAGTTTAAGCCACTGGGTCCAGGACTTGAACCATGGTCAACTACATGGGAGTTCAGCGACATAGCCATTATGCTAACTGCTGGTCCCGTCATGACACATTTTTTAATAGAAAAAATGCACCATGATTTTCCCAACAACCCAATAAAAAATTATTTTATTTATTTTTTTGAGAGACTTTTGCTATCAGACATGTGCATTCGCCAGAGAGACAGAGACAAACAGAGAGACAGAAAGCAAGAAATCCCCTCCCCGGGGAAATGGCCACGCCACAATTCCTTCTCCTCTATTCTTCCCTCAGGATTTTGGGCATGCGAGCACAGGTGGCCACTGGGAGTTTTACACCACTGGGTCCAGGACTCGAACAAGGGTCGACTATGTGGGCGTCTAGCAACGTAACTATTACACCATCTGTTGGTCCCCCAATAAAAACATTTTAATTAAGCTATGCAGCTCCTGCACTTACCAAAGAGAGAAAAGGAACAGGAAGAAGCACTGGCCGGAGGGCACAGTCACAGCACGGTCCCCTTCTTCCAGCCATGTAAGCCACCAGGATCCTGGGCATGTGCACGTGCCAGTGTGATTTCAAACTTACTGGGCTGAGGATTTGAGCCAGGGTCTGCATGTGGCTCCCAGCTCTGTAGTCCAGTCTGCTACCACCTGTGCCACAGAGGCTGGGCCAAAAATATTTAAACGGTATTTGATAAATGTTGCTAAATTGTTCAAAAGAATTTATCCTGTTTCTGTGGCGCCAAGTACTGTGTGCTGAGTGCTTTCTTTCTCTGTCCTCTCACCCAGCTGACTGCCTTTTTTTTCCTTTTTTCGATTGTTGCTATGGAGCACGTGTGCTCACTGGAGAGAGACAGAGAGGGAAAGTGAGACTTCACCTCCCAGGGGGGCTGACCATACCTCAGTCCTCCTCTGTTCTGTCAGGATTTGGGACACATACACATACACGTACACACACACACACACACACACACACACACACACCTGGCGTGATTTTCAAGCTGCTGGGTCTAGGACTTGAACCATAGTCAGCTGTGTAGGAATACAGCTCCTAAACCACCACACCACCTGCTGGTCTCACCAGCGGGCTGCTTAAAAAGACAAATTTTTAAGTATTTACTTTTATTTTTTTCTTAGAGATTTTTTGCTATAGGATGCATGCACTCACCTCAGAGACAAAGAGACAGAAAGTGAGAAATCACCACCTGAGGGGATGGGCATGCTGCAATCCCTTCTCCATTCTCCTCTCGGGACTTTGGACACACATGCACACATGCCTAGTTTGAGTTTTTTAAATTTTGTTTTAAGAATTATTTTATTGGGACCAGCAGTTAGCATAATGGCTATGTCGCTGGACTCCCGTGTAGTTGACTGCGGTTCGTGTCCCGGACCCAGTGGCTTAAAACTCACGCCGGGCGCGTGTGTGTGCATGCCCAGGATCCTGAGAGAACTGAGAAGGGATTGCGGCGTGGCCATCCCCCCTAGGGGGTGATTTCTCTCTTTCTGTCTTTCTGTCTCTCTCTGTCTGTCTGGTGAGCGCACGTGCCCTATAGCAAAAACCTCTCAAAAAAAAAAGAAGGGAACCAGCAGTTAGCGTAATGGCTATGTCGCTGGACTCCCACGTAGTCGACCACGGTTCGCGTCTT